GCATCCGCTGGCTGAGAAATGAATTTTGTACGAATAAGCGAGCGCTCGTCTACTCATCTGCCACTTACGAATTTAGAAAATGGCTCTGCCAGTATGAATCGTTCTCCAACACGCCACTCTGCTAAATTCCCCTAACTGATTCTCGTTCTAGTTAAGGCATTCAAGAGAAAGCCGAGTCTTTAGAATCACTTAGAGAATATTGACTAAGCTTCTGATTCTGCTAATCTTTTGTAATGGACACAACTTACAACCTTAACGGCGGATACAAACCAACTCTGAAGCGTTTCGCTGATTTAGACGGGCCGGATTTCTATCCGACACCCGCTTGGGCGACCTACGCACTGATAGACAATGAACCTTTCGAAGGTGAAATATGGGAAAGCGCTTGTGGTAACGGCGCGATGTCAAAAGTCTTGCAAAACGCATCGCCAAACGTTTCTAGCTCTGACTTGTACGATCGCGGCTTTGGTGAAGTCGGTGTTGATTTCCTAAACTCGAGAAGAAAAGCCGACAACATCGTGACCAATCCGCCCTATAATTCTGCAGAAGGTTTTGTGCGATCGGGAATTGAAAATGCTCAGAGAAAGTTTGCTCTGCTGCTACGTCTAGCTTTCCTTGAGGGAGCGAAGCGCCAGCGCACAATATTCTCCGCTACGCCACCGTCTAGAGTGTGGGTATTTAGTGAACGTATTACGTTTTATCCAGTGAATGCAGAACGGAAGGGCACGGGTACAACTGCTTACGCTTGGTTTGTTTGGGACAAGGATGCGTCAAATTCGACAGAACTCAATTGGTTAAAACCAGGATACAAAGCTGCCTACTCCTAGAATTACGCGCCTATGCGTTGACGTCCTAATGCTGTAATCCTGTATCCTGCGCTCGGAACATGTTCTAACCACCCTTCGTAAATGGCGTTACCCTCATTTTCATGGTGCGACTGAATATTCCTGACGATTTGATGCCACATTGGCTCGCCATTCCTTGTCACTGAAGGAGCCAAGTCGTCCGCGTTTAACTCTATCAAATTCGGTAAGTTCAAATAAATTTCTTGAAAGGTAGCGGTCCCGTCACTTTTCTGAGACGCAATACGAATTACGGCGTCGGCTATGTCATGCTCACTTGTTGTTGCCATGTAGTATCCCCCTCATTTCACATTCATTAACAATGCCTATATTTAAGAAGACGTGCAAGAAAATTTATAGTAAGTAGAAATTGTAATTCTAGTTCCTATTGCACTGCAGCAATCCCGGTCTTACAGTCCCTTGCCTAAAAAAATAGCATCGGATCTGGAATATGCTGCAGCCTGCCGGCGATTTTGACACGCTGAAAACCCGCTTCCAGTGGTCGCTGCCTGATACATACAATGTGGCGGGTGTGGTCAGCGATGCGTGGGCTGCCAGCGATCCTCAGCGGCTTGCAATCCGGCATATCCATACAAACGGAACCGCCGAAGATTGGACACATCAGGCGCTGAACCGGGTCGCCAATCGGCTTGCAAATGCGTTCAGGTCTCTCGGAATTCGTCCTGGTGACCGCGTTGCGCTGCTTTTGCCGCAATGTCCGCCGACTGCTATTGCGCATTTGGCTGCCTTCAAACTCGGCGCAATCGCGGTGCCTCTCTCGGCCCTCTTCGGGCAGGATGCACTGCGGTACAGATTATCCGATTCAGGCGCCAGGGTCCTTGTCACCGATGCCGCGGGTTTGGAAAAGCTCGACGAAATACGCGACGACCTGCCCGATCTGGAATTTGTTGTGTCGGTGGATGAAGCCGGTTCGAAGGATCTGTCGTTCAACGCTCTTGCCGAGAAGGCAAGTGATCGATTTGAAACACTTGCAACGACCCCGGATGACCCCGCCCTGATGATTTATACGTCCGGCACGACCGGCCAGCCCAAAGGCGTGCTGCACGGGCACCGGGTGCTGATTGGCCATATGCCGGGCATTGAACTTTCCCAGAATTTTCTGGGCAGATCCGGTGATCTCCTCTGGACTCCTGCCGACTGGGCCTGGGCGGGCGGTCTGTTGAACGCGCTGTTTCCGGCATTGAAACTGGGCGTTCCGGTGGTCTCTTTTGCTTCGCGGAAATTCGACCCGGAGTTTGCATTTCACTTGCTGGAAAGCCAGGGGATAAGGAACGCGTTCATACCGCCGACAGCCCTGAAAATGCTCCGTGCCGTTGATAATCCGGCGAAACGATTCACGTTGAGCTGGCGCAGCGTCGGGTCGGCCGGCGAGTCCCTCGGCAGGGAAACCTACGATTGGTTCGCGGAAGAATTCGGCTTCCATGTCAACGAGTTCTACGGACAGACAGAATGTAACGCCGTCCTGGGATCCGCAGCATCACTTGGTGTTACCAGAGCCGGCGCGATCGGAAAGGCAACGCCTGGACATGACGTCGCGATCATCGATGACGGTGGGAACGTGCTGCCGGCGGAAGCATTGGGCCAGATTGCCATACGAAGACCTGACCCGGTCATGTTTCTGGAATACTGGAACAAGCCGGAGGCGACGCAGGAAAAGTTCATCGGAGACTGGATGATCACCGGCGACCAGGGCCTGATGGATGAGGATGGCTATGTTCATTTCGTCGGCCGTGACGATGACATCATAACGTCTGCAAGTTACCGGATTGGTCCTGGCGAAATAGAAGACTGCCTGATCAAGCATCCGGCTGTCGCGCTGGCCGCCGTCGTCGGCAAACCCGATCCGCTGCGCACCGAGATCGTCAAGGCCTACGTTGTCCTGCGGCCTGACAATGCCGAGAGCGTTGGGCTTGAGGACAATATCAGGGGCTTTGTCCGTGACCGCTTGTCAGCACATGAATATCCCCGTGAAATTGAATTTGTCGAAGACCTTCCCATGACCACCACTGGCAAGGTGATCCGCAGAAAACTGCGCGAACTGGCACGCTCCGAAACAGTCTGACCGGATTTTTGCATCAGGATTTCAGCTTTGCCCTGACCGTGCGAGCAACCCGACGGAGTTTCCGTTCGAAAGCCATATCCGCCGCGCAAAGACTGTTTTTCAGATCACCCAGAGGCTGGCTGGCCAGCAGCATCGTCCCAATCTCCAGGCGGCCACGCCAGAGAGGCTCGATCATCGAATGTCCCGGAACCGCAAGGGAGTCCGCATACCTGAAACTGGATTGCGCCAGATTTTCCCGGAATGTGTGAAGAACCAGCTGGGCACCAGGCGAATAGCGCGCATAGCCCTCGTCAAACGCAATTTTCCAGGAAAAGACACAGCCGCCGTCAACAAATGAGACGAGCGACGCGATAAGACTGTCGCCTGCGCGCAGTTCGTCGATCCGGATTTTGTCCGAATGTGCGCACGAAGCAATCACGCCACGTGAAAAGGCCGCGGTCTGTGGATTGCTGCCCAGCGCGGTTTCCTCCCGCCCCTTCCATCCGGACGCTTCAAGCTCAAGAAACTGTTCGAAACACCCGAGTGTCCTGGCCCCGGTAACGCTCGACAGGTTGACGGTTCCGTGATCCTCGAGCCGGCGAAGGAGACGGCGCATTTCCTTGCGCCGCTTGCCTTTGAAGGCGTCTTCCAGCTGTTTTTCACCTTCGTCCCCGCCTGCATGGCTTGCCCGTTCAAACCGGGCTGTCTTCGCAACGTTCATGTTCTCCAGGTTCGTCAACCGCATCGCAACGCCTGAAGCCATTGGCAAGAACGGAACGGCCAAAATGCCGGCACCGCCGGCAGCCGTGTTGACGAATGTCTTTACCTGTTCATCGTCGGCCTGCGGAGACATTAGCGGCGTTCCGAGCGGGGAATATTCCGTCGTCCAGACCATGGCAACCGGAAGAACGAGCCCGGCCGGACATCGTCGGATGGGAGCGGCCATCAACCAGCGGCCAGTCGGTCTCTCTCTCAAGGCCAACAAACGGATATTCCGCGCACTCATGTTCCTCAGGAACGGCTGCAGGAATGAAGGGTTGAAAAACGGGTTCGGATCAACTGCTTCATCGCACAGCGCCTGCCAGGCCTCGACCGGTGTATTTTCACCTAGCGGATCGAAGAAAACAGTTTCAACCATTGATGTGCCTGAGGCGTCAGTCTTCACCCGCGCGCCCTCCGCTCGAGTACATCAAGGGCACAACAAATGTCGTCACATTCAGCTTCCGCTTCGCGGCAATTGCAAGCGCAGATGCTTCAAGGAATATTGCGCAACTGGTCGCGATTGCGGCACCGGCGAGCCCGAACAGTGGTATGAAAATCAGGTTGAGCAGCACGTTGAACACAAACGTCACGGCATATATGCCGGCGCAGGTTCGCTGGTGACCGGTCATGGACAGCAATGCATCCGCCGGCCCGACCGACGCGCGTGCCAGAACGCCGATCATGAGGAGCGCGATCAACGGATAACCGCTTTCGAAACCGTTGCCGAATAGCCGCAGCAACAGCGGAGCGACAATCAGCAAACCCGCACCGGCCAAGAGAGATGGCCAGAAAGTCCAGAGCGTCGCCTGCCGGGTATAGGTTGCCAGACCTTTCAGGTCCTGATTGTGCGTATAGGCGGAAAAACGGTGTGCCGATGCTGCCCTGACAGCGAAATAGACGAAATGCACCAGGGCCAATGTTCGTGACGCAGCAAAGTATACAGCGACCTCATCCGGACTTTGGAAGAAACTGACCATGATCACGTCGGCACTGGTGATCAGTTGGAGAAAGCCTTCCACCATCAGCATTGGCAGGGAAACCACGACCCATGATTTCAGCTCGACCCTTGACGGACCGGGCGGGATCTGCTGCGGCAGGCGTTTTCTGAGATGAAAATACTGGTATCCTGCCACGAGCAAGGTCGCCGCGACGGCAACAAACGCCGCTGTTTCCGCGGAGGCCGGCCGACCGGCGAAGACCGCGGCCACCAGCAGTAAAAGGATGGCAAGCGGCCTCCAGATGTAGGTCGGGAGCATTGCGAGTGAAGGCCAGTCGTAACTGCGGGCAATCCCGTCCTGTACGAGGCCAAACGCGAAAAACGGCAGGGCCAGAAACACGATTATGAGTGGCTGATTGTAGGAAGGGTCTATTGCCGGACGCAAAAGGTGGACCAGTCCGATTCCAATCACCGCTGCGCCAATGCCTATCAGAAATGCAATCAGGCGGCTCGCCTTCAGGAAACCGCGCAGAGCGGCAAGATCTCCGGCTTGGCGGTACTGGGGAATGAACCGGCTGGCCGATGTCGAAAACCCCCCACAGGCCATCACGCCCAGAATGATCACGACCGTCCAGGCAACCGAATAGATGCCGTAGTCATGTGCGCCCAGGAGACGTGCCAGAACAATCTGTGACAGATAGGCCAACGCAGCGCCGCCGACACGCACGGCAAACGTGGACACTGCCATGCGTCCTGCCGTCTGTTGGCCTGAAGGACTTCCACGTTTGAGGAATCCGAGTTGGTCTATGCTCTTACCGAGCCCCTGAAACCAGGTGGCGTCTTGAAAACGCTTCGTCCAGGAGTGGGCGGTAAATCGCACGTTCAGGGTCCTTGAGAAAATCACACCGTATTTGTGACATGTGGGACTTAATATTCCGTGGCTTTGAATTGACCGGCACGGAATCGGCTTCACAGATGCGTGATACCCCTTTGGCTGGCTGTGTACCTGAACTTCGCTGCGGCATCGTCACAGGCACCAGGTCCAGATATGGACCAATTCCGAAACCGAGGACCGGTTTGGCTTGCTGAAACCATGTTCCTGCAAGGCCGCAGGTATCGTGTTCCTGTTCCGGATCAGCAGCAAATGAGAAGAACAGATTGCAAAATGATCCGTTGACATTCATGAAAAAATGAGAACAAATAGGGAACAACTTGTTGGACAAACAGGATCATGAAACACGGATTGTCGTTTGTTCAATTGGATTGATCTTCGCGGATTCGAAAGGTTGCCTCCCCTACGGTCCGCCCTACGATCCGGTCCCTGTGACGCCGCCAAGCTCAGGGACCGGATCTTTTTCTCTCAACCGAAAATTCCGACGGTAAATTCGAATTAACCATAATTCTCAATTACGTGGCGGAATCCCTTGTCCTTTCTTGCTCGCGAAATAAATAAAGTTTATAGAGTCTTAAAGTTCTCTTATGGGAACCAAAAAAACGGACAATGTGCACACAAGCGAGTGTTCAGGACACAAGTTGGCGGTCAAATTTCATCGTCGGCATTCAGCTTGTTATTTGAGGTGATTACCATGATGAAATCGATAATGGCTGCGACCGTTGCCGTGACCGCCCTGCTTGGCGCAAATGCAGCGAATGCGATGATCGTAAACGGCGATTTTGAAGACACGACCACCCTGGACCCGACCGGACTGGTTAAAGGCAACAAGCTTTCAAATCTCGCCACAACCGGTTCATCCTGGGACGTCTTCAGTGAGATCAGTGGCTGGAAGACCACTGCCGGAGCCGGCATCGAGGTTCAGACGAACCGGACTTTGGGCTCCATCGACGCTCATTCCGGTCAGCACTATATCGAACTGGACAGTCACCCGAAGCCAAACTCGAATTCGACAATGGAACAGGAAGTTTCGCTCGGCGTTGGAACTTATGAGCTTTCCTTCTGGTATAGCCCACGCACCAACGATGCGAGTTCCAATGGCATCGAGTATTCGGTGAGCGATGGTCTCTTGTCCGGCTTCATAACCGGTCCGGGAGCATCTCCGGATACTTCTGTTGGTGTCTGGACCCTTGTAAAGTCACTGTTCAAGGTCGACACCGCAGGCGACTATTCACTCTCATTCGCAGCCACCGGGAAACAAAACACACTTGGCGGCTTCATCGATACGGTGAATTTGACCGCGGTGCCGATCCCGGCAGCCGGACTGTTGCTTCCGGTAGGTGTTGCAATGCTCGGATTTGCGGCCCGCCGCCGCAAATCGGCCTAAGCGAACACACAGCGGAAAAAATAGTGCGGCCCTCGCGGGCCGCATGTGTTTTGGAAACGACTGAACCTGGCAATCTATCTGATTTCGATGCGCCGTGCTGCTCAGTTGTTCCCTATCGAATGAAACGATCCCTAGGCGAACTGACGCCAGAATTGATAGGATCGATCCAGCCGATCCAGTTTCTTGCTTTTTTCGGACGGCTCAATATCTCTGCGATTGAGCAGAATTTCGATCTCTTTCCTGAGTTCATCCATGTGTTTGTTTGCATATCTCAACATATGAAGTCCTCCGCTTAAACAACGTTGCGTCTGAACAAAAGATGTTGTTTCGCAAAGGCATATGCAAATTAAAGATTATTCATAACTGTGGATTTATATATTTTTTGAATTTAGTAAATCTGATAAAATATCTCGCAAGATCTTTTCTATACATTCTACACAAGAAGTTATTTTGTAATATCCGCAGACAGTTTTGATGTCAGATCATCAAACCAGCCTGGTTGACCCTGGACGCGCGCTATCAACATGGCACCTTCGAGTTGCGCCAGAATGGCAAAGCTCTGTTTTTCGAGATCAGTATCAGAAAAATCGCGACCCAAAGCGCTGTTCTTCAGCCCGGTTTTCAACCAGAAGGCTGTCCGGTTGAAAAATGTCCTCGCCTCTTCAACAACCGCCGCAGGCAATCCGGCAGATTCCGCAGCCAGGACACCACACAAACACATCTGCCCATCCTGTCCCAGGGCGGTGGCAAATACGGTACTAAGTCTTCCAACCGGTCCTTCGGCCGTTATTTCCGGTGATCCCGGATCACCGAGCGTCTCCATGAATTGGTCCGTGTATCTCTTGGCAACCCGGGCACCGAGATCGGCTTTCGTCGGAAAATAGTAGTGCACGCTCGAACTCTTCACCCCGACACCGGACGCGATATCGCGGAAACTGAACCCGTTGTATCCGTTTTGACGGATCAGGGTCTCTGCCAGATCGAGAATTTTGGCTTCGGTGTCTGCAATCGGCGCGTTCACGGGTCAACCTCTTTATCTACCAACTGATAGATAGGGGTTGACAGAACCCTTTGCAACACTGATATGTCGACCATCAAATCTATCTATCAGTAGGTAGATAAAATAGCGTATCGAATGTGAGGAATGTGGAAATGATGGATTCAATCGCAATAATTCAAGGTGGCACTTCCGGCATGGGACTGGCCACTGCACACCGACTGGCAGCACGCGGCATTCCGTTGATCCTGATAGGTCGAAGCACAGGAAAACTTGCCGGTGCGAAATCCGACATCGAAAACCGTCACAATGTTCCAGTTGAAATCTGGCAGGCAGATGTAACCGACACACGGGATGTGGACGGTCTCATAAGGAATATCGAGAACCTTGACGGAGCGATTGGATATCTGGTCAACGCGGCCGGATATTTCAGTCCGAAACCGTTTCTGGACCACACGGGCGAAGATTTTGATCTGTACAACGCCTTTAATCGCGGCACGTTTCTGATCACCCAAGCGATTGTGCGCAAAATGGCAGGTGCCGGAAAAGGTGCAATCGTCAATCTCGGCTCCATGTGGGCGCATCAAGCCGTCAAGGCCACACCATCTTCTGCCTATTCCATGGCCAAGGCCGGCCTGCATGCCTTCACCCAACACCTGGCAATGGAGCTCGGGGACCAGGGCATCCGTGTCAACGCCGTTGCTCCGGCGGTTGTGGAAACGCCCATATACGGCGCATTCATTCCCGAAGAACAGATTTCAAAAACACTGAAGGACGGATTTGATGCGTTCCACCCGCTTGGTCGCATCGGAACTGCTGACGACGTCGCGTCCACTGTCGACTTTCTGTTGTCGGACGAGTCCAGTTGGGTCACCGGTGCGATCTGGGATGTCGACGGCGGGGTCATGGCGGGCCGGAACTAGCCGATCGAAAAAATTCTTACCGGAGTTGCCCCCATCGTGTGGCTCCGGTGGGGCCCGGACCCCTGATTGAAGCTGATCCGCCTCGTTTTGGCTGTGCGCTGGAAGAATGCACGCGGAAAGCACGGTTCATTTTCAAGGGCTTCACAACCAAGCGGTGAGACAAGACAACCAAATCCGAAAGACGGTTGCTCTGCTTCACAAGGAACCACCACACTAGGGCGTGTACTCATAAACGGGCGAGCGTCGATGACCACTTTCGGTGGAACATCCGAAGACGATCAATCAACCGTGCAGGTCAGCATTGCGGACGAACCGTTAGTTCGCTGCAGCCGCGCCGATGCCCTCTCCGGTCCTGCTTTTGGGTGTGTTCATTTTTTCGTTGAAGCGCACAATTGCAAGAAGGTTTGCGAACCGGTATGCGCCACATCTGGTGAAACCCACATGATTGAGCAACGGCCCATTTAGCGGACAAACGACGGAATCGGGGCGCGTGAACCAGTATGACCGCGGTCAAAAAACGTAGTTCAAGGCAAAATTCAGCCCATGATAAGTCAGGTCCCCGTCACTCAGAGATGTCGCATAGTTGGCGCCGGCAGTGAAGCCGCCGCCGAAGGCATAATCGAGACCAAGATCGAAATTCACACTGCCACCGTCGTTTCCAACATATTGCTGTGTGGCCGTCAGGCTCGGGTCCTGAATCAGGCTGACGGTGGCGTCCCCCAGATCCAGATTGTTGTATTGATAAAACACGCTGACATATGGACTGAAGTTGCCGTGGTTGTAGCGGGTGCTGAAGCCCACGGAAACGGAGACATTGTCTGAGTTTTGCTCGTCAACGGAAAGAGACCCGCTGCCTGCATTCCCCTCGGTGTAGCCATCAACGTTGATATTCGTGTACCAAAGCCTTGATTCGACACTTGTCGTAAACGCCTTCACAGGTGGAAATCGATATCCGATGGTCCCCTGAACACTGTGGGCACCCGCATTTGTTGATGCCTTGGCAGTCCCCGAGGAGCCTGCATTCCGGTCCAGGTCGAGATCGAAATGGCCGTAGCTGTATACCAGACTGGAAAAAAATCCGTTCTCGTGGATGTATTGTGCGAACGCCGAGAAATGGTCGCTGTTTGACTGCGTGTTCCCCAAATCGTCCACATAATCGGTGTCGGTGTAGTTTCGGCCGTAGGCAACGCCGAGCGCGAGGGATTTCGTGATGTCGATGTCGGCGCCCAGCTGACCGCCAACCAGATTACCGTCATAGCCGCTGAAGCTGCCTGTCGAACCGTGATCGATGGAAACGAAGCTGCCTTCCGACCAGACCCTGATGCGGCCCGCCAAGTTGGCAGCGCCCGGGTTTCCGTTGGTCCCGATTGCAGTGTCCGGAAAGGGCGTGTTGCCAGACGGGGTTTCCGCATACCGGTTCAGATATGTTTCGTCGAAATACCCATTTGGACTTGCAGCAGCGCCAGCCCGGGCGGCCAGATACGTGTCGTTCTGCATTCGCGACAAGCGTCGATTGATCAACGCGAGTGTCAGGGAGCTTATGGAGTTGACCTGCGACACGTTGGCAGGGATCGTGTTGAAGGCAATATTCTTCTGTTCGTCAAAAGTAGCGTCAAACAGACCGATGCCGTACAGGATCGTATACATGTGAAAATTTGTGCCGGCCAGAAAAGGCAACCCACCATTTTCGGCAAGCAACGGCTCGGGGTCGTCGCCTGTATTGGCAGCAACCTGATAGGTGTTCCCGTCGCTTGCGTGGACGGCGATCCAGTAGGTTCCTGGATCCAGGGTCAACCCTGAAATGGAGAATTCATCCAGATTGGTGTTGTTTCCGGCCAACGTGACATTGCTGTAGACGGTTCTGTTTGTGCGCGTTGCGGTTCCGGTGAAGAGCTCCGCATAAGGGGAGGCAAGAGCTCTTACGGAATAGGAAAATCCGTTGGCACCCGTGAGCGTTGAATTTGACAGCTGCACAAAGCGCGTGACTTGTGTTTGCCGCGCAAAGGTATGCTGCGTCAAGAGGATCTGCCGGCCGCCGGCACCGGCCGTCTGATTGTTCAGGGAATTGCTTGCGGCCGAGTTGAAGCCCGTAATCTTGTCCTTGACGGCGAACTCCTGCGCCTGTGAAGAATAAGATAACAGAAAAGCGAATATAGCGAAAATGATGGCTGTTGAACCAAGCCTCATAGCCGCCCCCCCAAAAAAACGTTTGCTACAACACGATCCGAAAATTCAGGACCACATTTGTTTTCTTACAACGCATATCGATCGAGCTTTGCTTGCGCAAGTAACTTGCGTCGTACCGCCATACAGATAGCACCTAGAACATGAACATGTCACATTAAAGCTGCCTGTTGAAGCCATTTAGGTGAATGGTCCTGTTCGGGTTCGAAGCGGTTGGTCGACCTAACGGACCAGGCTGCAGTGTCTTGGTGCAAAGCAGACATTGAAGTCTGGCATGCGGGTGTGATTCATGCTCCGAATAGGAGCCTTGAGCATGAGACATGCCTTCTCGGTCGCCGAATGGCGGTTGATCGCACCAATCCTTCCGTGCGAATCGGGAGGCGTCCCGCGTGTGGATGACAGGCGTGTCCTGAACGGCATTTTCTGGATTTTGAGATCGGGAGCACCGTGGTGTGATCTGACGGAGCGATACGGTCCCTACACCACCTGCTACAATCGCTTCGTGCGTTGGCGTTGCGCAGGCGTTTGGGGTCGTATCCAGACTGCCATATCGCATCGGGAAGACGCCGAGGTGCAGATGATCGACAGCACGGTAATTCGCACCCATCAGCACGCAAGATGCGTCCAGAATAGAGCCAGCGGAGGCTTTGGACGTTCACGTGGAGGCTGGGCGAACATCCCACCCCGTCGGAACCGGCGCGATCCGATCTGCTTCGGTCCGTATCTCTACCGTCATCGAAATCACGGTGATCGGTTCTTCAACCGGATGAAGCACTGTTGGCACATTTCTAAGCAATTTGAGAAACACGCAGACAACTTCCTTGCTTTCGTCAAGCTTGCTGCCATCCGCTTTGGCTACGCGTTAATGAGACCACCGCCTAGTGAGCCAGCGCTTCGACATAGTACCAGTTGCCGGCTTTCTTCCGAAAGCGGCTACATTCCCGGTGCGTATTCAGTTTGCCACCTGACAGATACCTTGCTTCGAACAACACCGTTCCTTCACGATCTGCCGCCCCACCCTTTTGCACGTCAAGAACGGTCAATCCGGTCCAGTGATTTTCAGCCGCCCATTTCACAGTGGCAACCTCATCAAAACCACGCAGATTTTTCGGCCAAAGGGTGTCTCTCAGATACGATATGTCCTGACGCACAAAAGCTGTGTAACGGGACCTCATCAAGGCTTCGGCGGTTACAGGGACCGAAGCCCGGGAGAGATAAGGTCCGCAGCAGACATCAAAGGACTTGCCATCACCGCAGGGGCATGTTTTTTCCGTCATCCCGGCCTCTAGTTCTCCTGTCATTCTTGCGCTGTCTACCACCAGGCGTGCCTTGCCGCTATCGTCTGAACAGGAATTTCCCGGGGGCATCATTCATGAAACTTGCCACATTCAACATGGAATCATTCGGGTTCGACCGGTATGACGCCACCGCGCTGAAGCCGCGGCTGGACGCGTTGCGTCCAAGGATCATGGAACTCGAAGCGGACATTCTCTGCCTTCAGGAAGTAAACGCACAAAAGATCAAGGGTTCCTCCCATCGCCAGTTTCCGGCGCTTGAACGCCTGCTGGCGGGAACTCCCTATGAGACCTATCATCGAGTTGCCAGCGAACGCGCTCCCGGCAAGGGCCCCGGCGACAAGCACAATCTTGTCTTGTTGTCGCGATATCTGATATCGGAGCATGAGAGCCTGTTTCAACAGCACGCAAACGCGCCGCTCTGGCAACCGACAACAGCCGATCCGGCATACGAAACTCCCGAAGCCATCACATTCGAACGTCCCATCCTGAAATCTGTCGTCGATTTCGGTTCGGCAAAACCCCTGCACCTCTTCGTGGTTCATCTGCGCGCGCCGATCGCGGCGATGATCCGCGGCGGCAAGAACCGGGACCGTTCCTGGAAAAGTGCTTCAGCCTGGGCGGAAGGCTATCAGCTGTCGGTCCTGAAACAGACCGCTCAGGCCCTCGAGCTTCGCCTTTCGATCGAGAAACTGTTTGATGAAGACGAAGAGGCCCGGGTTGTCTTGACGGGCGATTTCAATGCGACAGGCGACACAGGCACGTTGCGGTTGCTGCGCGCCGACCCGGACGACACGGCGTCACCTGAATTCGAAAACCGCCGACTGTTTCAACTCGACGCATCGTTGCCGCTCGACCGGCGTCAAACCGTCATCCACAAGGGCAGGGGTCAGGCGCTCGACCATATACTTGCAAGCCGGGCAATGACGGACAGAACCACTGACGGTCGGGTCTTCAACTGCGGACTGCCTGACGAGGTCCTTGATGCGGGTGATGACGGATACGCTGGATCCTATCACGCGGCGATGCGTGCGGAATTCGAACTATAGGCCGGATTGTTCACTCAGGCGCGAGCGAACTGATGTATTTCGCCAGGTTCGCGATTTCCCTGTTGCCCAGGCTCATGTTCGGCATCTTGGGATGAGGGTCGGCAAGGAATGTCGCCAGTGTCGCCTCTGTCCAGTCCGGGTCTTTCGCCATGTCATAGAAACTCGGAAGGGAAACGCTTGTCGCCGTTGGCTGGTCCTCGGCAACAAGATGGCACGCAGAACACCATTGAAGCGCGAGAGCCTTACCGGCTGCCGCGTCGGCGGCCAACGCAGGGCTAAGAGCGCCGGAAAGGCACAAAACCGCCACCATCATGCCCTGCAATCCAACGCGATGACCTTTGGCCAGAAAAGATTGTGGTGCTTCCTGTTGCCGAACCATGAATTCTCCCTCCTGCGCTTCTGATGAAGACGTGAATTGCAGTGTGTCGGTTTCCTGTTGCACTCACCTTGCGGTGAGTCAAAACTTGCAAAATACCGACAACCTGCGCGCGCTTTTTTGTTGCCTCTCTAGCGCCCGTCAGACAGACTTCGGAAATTCCGAACAAGGGAGATTGATATGGGACGTCGTCTGAAAACCGTCGTTTGCGCTGTCGCAGCGGCCATGCTTGCCATGCCACCGGTTTCTGTCACTGCACAGGATGCTCCCATCTACGCCCTGACTGACCTGTTTCATCCGGTCACGGCACAGAACGGCATGGTTGCAAGCCAGGAAGCCGTTGCCACTTCTGTCGGGCTCGAGATTCTCAAACAGGGTGGGAATGCCGTGGATGCCGCCATCGCGACCGGCTTCGCGCTCGCCGTCACGCTTCCGCGCGCCGGCAATCTTGGCGGCGGTGGTTTCATGATGATCCACATGGCCGAAAGCGGTGAAACCCAGGCACTCGACTATCGCGAAAAGGCACCCTCCGGCGCCTCCAGGGACATGTTCCTCGGACCGGATGGCGAACCCGACAAGCAGAAGTCGAGGTTTTCCGGCCTGGCGATCGGTGTTCCCGGAACCGTCGCCGGATTTGCGGACGCTTTTGCCAGATACGGCAGCGGCAACGTAACCTGGGCAGAATTGGTCGCGCCGGCGATCGAACTTGCCGGTTCCGGCATCACGGTAACTCCGGGTCTATCTTCCGCTCTTGGCGCCAGGGCAGAACGTCTGACGAAGGATCCGGCTACCGCGGAGATTTTCTTCAAGGCAGGCCCCATTCCCTATTTGCCGGGCGAAACACTTGTGCAAGCGGATCTCGCCCGCACGCTGCAGCTGATTTCCGAGCAGGGAGCAGAGGGTTTTTACAAGGGTGACGTCGCCGAAAAGATTGCCAAGAAGGTTCAGGACGCCGGTGGCAGCATGACCGTCGAAGATCTCGCGAATTATGAACCGGTCTGGCGCGAGCCTGTGACGGGAAACTACAGGGGCTATGACATCGCCTCGATGCCACCGCCGTCGTCCGGCGGTGTGCACATTGTGCAGATCCTGAACATTCTGGAAAATTTTCCGATGAATGAATTCGGTCCGAATTCGGCCGACTCGATCCATGCCATGTCCGAGGCCATGCGCCTGGCCTATGCGGACAGGTCGGAATATCTGGGGGATCCGGACTATGTCAGCGTTCCTATCAAGGGATTGACCTCGCCGGACTACGCCGCGGAATTGACGAAAACCATTCAAATGAATGTTGCAAGACCGTCGGAAGACGTGAAACCCGCGGACCCGCTTCCCTACGAAAGTAATGAAACCACGCACTATTCGGTCGTCGACAAGGACGGGAACGCAGTTTCAAACACTTACACGTTGAACTTTTCTTATGGTTCGGGCCTGACAGCTGACGGAACCGGTGTCCTGTTGAACAATGAACTCGACGACTTTTCCGCCAAGCCCGGCGTTCCCAACGCCTATGGCCTGATTGGCGGTACGGCCAACGCGGTCGAGGCCGGCAAGCGACCCTTGTCATCCATGAGCCCGACCCTGGTGTTCAAGGACGGCAAGTTTCTGTTGGCAACCGGTTCACCGGGCGGCAGCCGGATCATCACAACGACGTTGCAGATCGTCCTGAACATTGTCGACCACAAGATGAACATCGCCGAAGCGACGGTCGCGCCGAGGATCCACAATCAGTGGCTTCCAGACGAAATTCGGATCGAAGAGGGCGTTTCACCGGATACAGTCAAGCTTCTGGAAGACCGCGGACACAAGGTCGTCGTCAAGAACGCCATGGGGTCGACACAGTCGATCATGCTGTTCGGGACCGGAGGGGAGTTGGGGAGTTTTCGCCGAAAGCGCAGGGGAGACGTTTCTCAGAGTCTCAGAATCTGTTTGGCAGCCAGGAAGACTGTCTGAATGGCTACAGCTCCATGTTTCAGCAGACCTAGCCCAAGCTGAGCTCACGTGGTGGCAAATAAACAAATAAATAGCAAGTCGGTGAGGTTGCCATTCCTAGCCTCGCCACCTCATGTGCCCTGATTGGCATTGTCATGTACGCTGAAGGCTTCAAACCATTCAATCTCTAATTCACTCGATGCTACGGTTGACGGGAAGGGTTTCCCAGCACGTTAAGAGCAACCCGAGACACCTTTGGGCAATCATGATGGAGTAGAGAATCATGTGCAGCTAAGAGCCATTTTACCCCCAGTCCTTGCCAACTCATTTACGAAAAAAATAACCCTCCGTGATAGCAGCCCCAGGGTATTTAACATCCACACGGCATGCAAAACCATGATTGGAATCCTGGAGGCCTGGAGGCACATCGATAGCTATTGCCAGATTTGATGTTCGGCCCTCTCTGGTCACAGGGCTGTCCCTCCTCATTTGGTGTTCTTGCCCTTGGGGTGGGCCTTTGGACCCAGAACTCCGTGGGAAGGACACTACAAAGTAAAGAGACTTGTTTTTGGCCCATGGCTTCGCAGTTTCCTCCGGTGCTCAGATAGCAATGGTGGTCTTTGACCTCAAGACCCGGGGTAAAATCTTGCGTAAGCTTCAAAAAATGCCCTTTACCATTCAGCACCTTCCCCCTTGTCACAGGTGAAGGGATCCTTTCAAGGGCACTCACTCATACTTACCAAGCTCAGGGCATGTGGAACCTCAAAATGGGGATGTTCTCAATGTTCCCTCGGTTTTTGAGCAAACCCCAAAAAGTAGCAGCAATTCAAAAGACGACACCCAGCTCACAATGCAGGAACCTCCCCGTCTTCCTGCGCCATGCGTTTGCGTTCACGCGGGGGGCCCCGCTGCAGTTCTTGGGCACAGGGTGCCGCCCTCATGGGGAATGAGATCTCCGGTGAGCTTTCACATTTGTTAGATGCAGGTGGGGACCGAGCAAGATATATAACATATAGTTTTCTGACCCAGATGTAAGCAATGTGGAATCTAGTTGCCATCCCCAGCAACATCGTAATGCAAGGTATGCCGCATGCCATCAGTCCATCTCTTGGTCTTGCAGCAGTGATGCTAAAAAGGCCACTTTCTACTCTTTGATTGTCCAGCTGCGAGGTGGTTTGTGCCACGCCTGGACAGCAAATGTGACCTCAAGGTGACTCACCTCAGACCCGAAAGCCCACATGTGCACATGGCCATGACTTTTGATAGGGAGCATCCTCAAAAATGGTTGGTGGGCATATCCTATGTAAATGATGCCCACAACTGGTTTTCAACTAAAAGATTACCTACACCCACACATGACTCGTCATTTTTGACGTGGCGACTGGCATCGTGCTGAAGTTGACTGCTCAAGCCAGGCACTTGGACATGATCACGGAGGACCATCGCAAGCTTGGCCGGGAACTGAGAGGTGACAGCCTGCAGACACTTGCGAAGTTCAGGGTTCTCGTGATGTCGCGGCTGCTTGAAAAGGAACCCGAAGGATACGGGGCGGCCATGTTGGGGGCCTTCCTGTTTGGAGACGCACATTATATATATATACATACATATTAGATTGATTTCTGTATGTATGTCAATGTACGTATGTATTTAATACCCAATGGCTTGCTTCGTGAGCTTGAGACGACTAGCCAGCAATGTCATCAATATTTTGCGCCTTGGAGTCTGGCTTTCCTATTGCTGTGATGCCGGCACCCCCTCATGCGGGAGCTTGGGAGAGATGCGCAGGGTCCTGCCTTGCTTAATTTACCCCCCCCCCCAAATGGCAGATTTGTCACAGACGGTGAATGATGTTGTTGGTGCGGTGTGAACTCAGGCAAGACGCTCCTGTATAGCTTTCCGTTCAAGCTGCCGGCTCAGCATTCGGCAACAACCCTGCTTGTGTTGCTGTTGCCTTTTGATGCGCTGAATTCGCCCGCATCAGGCCACCTATCATTTCAACTACGGATCCTGAGCTCCTCGATTGCAATTGGATCTGTGTGGTTGCTTTTGAGTGGCACCCTGCCATGTGTAATCTACGGTTTTTCAGAAGCACACGCTCCCAGAATCCGCTGAAACCGGGGGAACACGCAACATGTGCCGACTACAGCTACTGCAGCTTATGGGGATAAATGCCAACTGTTGGTTTGTTTCAGGCTACAGACTGGTTGTTGGATTTTGTTGGGCCAGTTTACACAAGCGCTTTTCAAAGCAATGGCCCTAAACGCGACCTGAAGAGGGCCTTGTTAGGGGCTTGCTTTGGGGCGCACACTGGCAGACTGAGGAATGTCGAGCACATGCTGAAGCGCAACTTCGACAACTTTGTCAAAGGCTAGGTACGTGTGAAGCGCACATCGCGGAACAGAAGGGCATCGTGCGACGGGCATCGTGCAAAGGCCACAGTTCCTTGTGGAGGTACGTGACATAATCCCTTGCTTGGCAATGGCAGGAGTGAACATAGTCCCGGTGAATATGTTCCCAGCACCCCAAAGAAGTCGCCGTATTCCTCACTTATCCAACAAGACAAATTCCGACAGTTCAGTTTGAAGTGGTGCAAAGTAACAAGCATAAGCGTTCTGTCAACCTAGCGCAGGGGGGTTCTGAGGCTTGTGAAATTCTTCCTGACAGGATGGTGGTTCCGCGGGCCGCTGACGCAACTGCGCCTGCCCCGGCTGGTCGTGCCGCTTGAAGCCGCTGACTAATCCTTCAGAGAAGGGGGCGACAGCAGAAGGAACACACGGGATGTCCGTGGCCACATGGGCAGGATGCGACGACTGGATTAGAGAAGTTGCGGTGGGGAGCAATGTCGGGTTTGAGATTCCCTGGGCAGGGAGACCCTAACTTAGCCCTAAGTTCCAATGTTCAACTTTGAAATGAGAAGACCATGTTAGTGTGAACGCAACGTTAAAACCATTTCCATCCAATCGGGAAATGAGCTGAGATACGCGTACTCGACCACGAATTTGTTGGGGTACTTGGCTTGTACCCACCCCGTGCCTTTGTTCAATGGTTTGCTTCTGATGCTTGCCACAAGTTACATGTGTCATGTCGGTTTCTGTTTAGGCACCTTGCACAGAGGATCCCTAGCTTTGACGCCTCTCTTCCCATTTGGACACCATTGCAAGCCCGCAAAGAACTTGCATGACAAATCGAGCAATAACAGCGGCTTCTTAAATCCATCCGGCAACAGAAGCAGTTGATGCACGCATATGCATTCATGTATGTGTGTGTGTTGGTTGTTCTGTGGCCATTGTGGGGCTGCTTTGAAATTTTCAGGAGATGGACGGGCCAACTTGTGTTGAAGCAGTGCCATACGCAGTGCCATTCGTCCAAATCTCCGTTTCCACAATTTGGCGTTTTTTGGTTCGCTGTGGGCCTGGCAAAGCAAATCCTTGCTTGGGGTGGGGCAAACTTACGGATGCATCGCCGGATTTGGGGACTCGGATCGACGCCAGGCTGGGGGACGGGATTTTCAACGCGGACGGAGCGTCCGCGAGCTCAGAGGGGCTGTGTTTCAAGCGCTGCAGATACTTTGGGGCCAAAAGGCCTTGAGACACGAAGGCCTTTTGGGGTGTATGATGTATGGGGAACCCTGGGTGCTCCATACATAGTGTATGACCCAGCACCTTTAGGGAAGTAGGGGAACCCCCAATTTGCTTTTGGTTTTTTATCACAACCCTACGGTACCTCACAATGGGCGTTTGATTTGCGACCGAAATTACGATGAAGGCTTCCCTCATGCAGGGTCCCTGTTTTGTTTGTTGTGTGCGGATTGGCTGGTGAACAATTACTTTTCCACAAAAGACGCGACGTCAAGATGACCCGCGGCATAAGGTGACCTTGACTTAAGGAACTGTTGCCATTGACTGTTAAGCCACTTGCCAACAACGAGTGTTTCTGTTGGCAGAGTATCAAAGACAGGATTGTGTGAGTAGAATAGAAGAAAGACACATGATATTTGGCCTTTCTCAATTCTCATTGCAGTTGGTGGCATGCGGCAGGAGACATGTTGCAGCCACCTTGTTTCTCACGAGGGGCTGTCTCACTGCCGAACAGTCTCAGTTGATTTGGCAAATTCAAAGGAAACTTGGACGTCAATCATTTGGGTGTGGGTCAAAATTAAACCACCAGGGGACCGCAGATTTTAGTCCATGTTTGCTCTTACCAGGGTTCCATTTTGGGGCTACCCTAGTTTTGACCCACAGCTTGGGTCTGCATCCTCGCCCATGCTCTTATTTTGGGTTGGCGAACGGACGACTGGTGGTGGCCCAAGCTGCTAGGTCTCCTAAAGTCAGGGGGCCATAGAGTCGGACATCTAGACATGAGCCTTTTTTTCAGGCGAGCTGCCATCCTTGAACGCGAGGCGGTTGTCCGGCACCGGAAATACCTAGACCCGTGCATTCCTTGCAGCGTTTCTCCGCCCAAACAAGCTCCGAGTACCAAACATGGCTGCTATAAGAGTTTTAGCTTCAAGCTGCATCTGGTGGCCGGATCGATCCGAGAGAGCCATGGCGTGATCTGATGGCGCATGTCACGAATCTCTTCTTGGACATCGAGCCTGTCACACATGGCACATGGCGTCGAAGGCCAGTTGCCGGGTTGGTCAGTGGGAGAATGGAGAAGTGCCTTTTCGGATGTTCGTGGGATGCGGGTTGCGTAAAACGACAGCGCTGGTGGTCGTCACCAACTTGCAATCGCAGTCTGGCGCACCTTGCGGTTTGTGCTGCATCCGCTCATTTCCGGCGCACATTTCAGAAATGCGTTGCGGATCGCTGGCACCTTTGTCTTGTAAAACTAGTTTGCCATCGTGGCTGATTGGGCAGGGAAGCGACCAAAGATTCTGCAACCGCTCCCTCGTGACTGACCAGTTCGTTTTTACAGTGGATCCAGTGGGATGGCCACTGTAAGACCACAAGAAGCTGCGCAGCACGTGCCCAACTGACTATTTCTTGAGTTGTTCCACTCCATCATCATGATGATCAAGCAACGGTGGAAGGAGACGCCCCGTGTTGCACACCCAACAGCTTTACAGGTGTCAGTTGTTTGGGGCCAACTTTTTGCCTTTTGAGTCCCGTAGATTGCAGTGCAATCCGGTATCCCTGAAAAACTCAAACGCAGGAGGCGATCCAGTTGCTTGAAACGACCAACACGGCTGCGGCCCCTGTTTGTTTCCTCCTGGAAAATGGGCGAAGAACATATATGTCCATTTGCAACTCGACCTAGATGTTTATGTTTTATGTCCATAAACTCTATGGGTTTTTGCTCAAGTTGGGCTTTTTGTTGTGTGGTTGGCGCAAACAAAAAAGTGAAGGTTCACCACCTTTCAGTCTGCCCTTGGGATAGCCAAAGCATGGAATGGAGCTCTGCATTTGGACGGATGAAGGTTGACAGGGGGCAAGTCGCCCATTCTTCTTTGCCAGGATGCTGCATGGTTCGCCGGCCGCCTCTGCCATGGGCAGTGGGGGCCGCAAGGAGTGGTACAGGACCCGCTTGCCAGGCTGGTTATTGATTGGTTGATTGACTGGCTGGCTGATGGATGGATGGATGGATGGATGGATGGATGGATGGATGGATGGATGGATGGATGGATGGATGGATGGATCGATGGATCGATGGATCGATGGATCGATGGATCGATGGATCGATTGATCGATTGTGTGTTTGTTTGTTTGTTTGTTTGTTTGTTTGATTGATTGATTGTTTGTTTGTTTGTTTGTTTGTTTGTTTGTTTGTTTGTTTGTTTGTTTGTGTGTTTGTTTGTTTGTTTTGTTTGTTTGTTTGTTTGTTTGTTTGTTTTTTTGTTTGTTTGTTTGTTTGTTTGTTTGTTTGTTTGTTTGTTTGTTTGTGTTTGTTTGTTTGTTTGTGTTTGTTTGTTTGTTTGTTTTGTTGTGTTTTGGTGTATTTGTTTGTGTGTTTGCTTGTTTGTGTGCTGGCGTGCTTGTTTTTGTGCGTTTGCTCGTTTGTTTGTGTGGTTGTGTCAGGTGGGTAGGGTTGGGTTGGGTTGGGATGGGTTGGGTTGGGTTGGGTTCGGTTGGGTTGGGTTGGGTTGGGTTGGGTTGGTCGGTTGGCTTGAGTTGGCAACACGCACAAAGCACATGCAAACCGCTGCAGAAACATGCGCTGCGCGGACAGTGTTTTTGCCAGGCCATCAGAGAAATCGTGTGAGAGATGTGGGGTAGCGGCCTGTTTCAGAGTCCACGCGTTCCATCTAGCCTTTCGCATGGCAGCCCCTGACATCCAGGGTCTCCCTTAAAAGGCCTTCCATGGGCCTTTGCAGGGCGTTGGTTGCCAGAGTTATTCATAGGGTCGTTGCGACCGAATCGACCAAAAGGACCTTTTGGACAAATAGCCTTCAACACGTAAACCTACAGAAGGTCGAGAGATCGACCTTTTGCTCGTTCGGGGGGCTTGGAGCAGCGCATTGTTTCAAGAAGTTTTTTGGGTTTCTTCCATTTGCTGGAATGACTCAATATTTGTTTGATCTTCCCCTCTTTGATTACCTAGCACTAGTCGACATATGTTCCGTTTTTTCCAGGGGTCGTAACCAAATGGAGGGTCCCTTTCGAACTTGAACATCGGTTACCATTTTGCCCGATTTCCACTTGTACCAATTTCGGTGATCCGAAGCAAGCAGATTTGAAGCAGTCAAGGAATCACCGCAACGGCCAAGACTCAGAGATGGAGGCTCTGTGGGTACTTCGGGGTGTTAAAAAATTGTCGGGCCTGCCTTGAATTCGTCTTCCTCTTGGATGCCAGAAGGAAGCCACCCCAGTCACACACATGAAAGGGGGAAAATGTGTAAATACCCTGAACAATTTATATACTGGTTCGTTCAGGTGCCTTGAAGTGGTTACAGTTTCAGGACACAACTCTCTTGCTGGACATGGAATTTCAATACCCATGAGTTGTAGAGGAATCTATTTTTGGGAAACGCACCCCCTTTTTGGGTTCCATGTTAATTTGCAGCGGGTGGCCTGAGGGCGGTTTCCCTTTAAATCACAAGTCAGGGAGGTAGTTTCCCAGAGCATGCGCCGGCCCTGGAGCGACTTTTGTCATGAACTGAGTTGTTCACCCTTCTCATGCTTTGGCATTGGGTGAGTTTCCCCAGTCAAGCGCACAGATTGGGTTCCCGCCTTCTGCCGGGCCAATGGTGAAGCGAGGCGCTCAAATGCCCCTGCAATTTCGTAACCCCACAATGGACGGCGGCAGGTCCCATTTCAGGTTCGCTTTTAAGGTTCCCCAACCCACTCTTTGGCGGGCAAAATCAGAAAGTCCTGATTTGGAACTTCACCTTTTTAGCCGCCGTTTCACGTGCTCCAACTGATTCTTGCATCAAAAAATCCTGAACAGCTACAGATGCTTTGTTCGTTTCGCACTGCGAGCTCCCCGCTAAAGAAGGAGGGGGGCGTGCAGGTCATGGTGAGGAGAGACCGGAACCATCCCAGCATCATCATCTGGTCGGTTTGCAACGAGCGCCTCGTGTGAATTCTTGTCCCTGTTCTTTCGAAGGATTGCTTTTTTTTGCGCAGACGGGTCGTCAGACACTTGGTGCCGGCTTTTTTGCACTACTTTGGGGAGAAGCTTTCCAGGGCCTTGTCCAAGTAGTGCCCTCATTGACTCACTGGGTTGGACTGTTTGAGGGCCCATTCAGTCAGGGTTAGCTAAATGGTTATCAACCCCACAAAGCGGTGAGAGGGGAAACTAGGGTTATTGTGAATTTTAGTTGGCCTTGAGTGTTGTGTGTGATTGTGTTAGAGTGAGTGGTCGGCGCAGAAATGCGTGAGCTGGTTTCCAAGGTAGAAGATGGGTGCATGTCCGCACGTATCCACATGGCCGCGAGGGCCAGAATGAGAGCGAGAGCCACAGAATGGCAGTGGCCCAAGCGAAGGTGCAAACTTCTAGGGAAGTTGACAAGGACATTTGCCGGTTTCTTGGGGGATTTTGCCGGAGTTGGGCTGGTTTTTAGAGGGGGGGTTGAGAGGGGAGTTTGGCCGGCTTCTACGGTTTTTAGACTGGTTTCTGAGGGAATTTGACCGGTTCTTTCCGGAGTTGCAGTTTCAAAGGTTTGAGAGGGGTTTCTAGGGAAACTTCCCGGTTTCTAGATGAACGGCTTAGAGGGGGATTTCACCTGAAGAGGTTCTGAAGGGGTCAAGTTGAAGGGGGTATTCACTCAAGCCGTGGGCAATTTGAGAGGCACCCTCTTTTCATTTTGGCACCATGCGCAGCCAAAATGAAACCCATCCCGGGCGGTTCCCTGCAAATTGGACTCCCCGTTAGGGTATGCTTCCCCTTATTGCCGTTACTGTAAGTTGCGCACAGTGGTCTCTAGCCTTGGCCCCGAATATCTAGCAAATTCCATACCTTGAAACTCCATGTCATGTCCAACAAACTAAGTATTGATGTTCAAAACAGGTCCTTGATTGTTGTGCCAGACGGCAGTCGCTTCCCTTCTTGGAGCGTCCCACTGCAGATGACGGTGCATGGTGTGATAGTCTAGGGGATCCTTCTTAGCACTTGGGGAAGCGGCTGGTATTTCAAAAGAACGATGGCTGTTCAAGGATCTTCCCTTCTGAAGGGTTGGGAAATTAACCCTCAGCAAGCTGGTTACAATGGAGGAACTTCTGCATGACAAATTTCAGAGTTGTCCAAAGGTCAACCAAGTCCGCTTACTTGCGTCAGATCTCAGGGCTTTTTGGCGTTCCAGGGGTGAGGGGTTCAAATCCCCCAGCCATCAATCCAAACCGCCAATGAACCAATGAGGGTTTGCCTGAAACTGCGGACGACTTGAGAGGAGCAAGTGGAACTAGCCAAACACAAAATGCCACAAAAGCGGCAAACAACAAAGGACCGCCAAACTCACTCTCAGAATGAAAGGAAGCTGACAGTTGATTTGAGGATTTGTTTTACCTTTTGGCAGGGTCTTTTGCAGCGACCGGCCAAAAACACAGACCTTCAGCGCCCTTTGTCCAAATGTTTTTGAGGGTTCCCCTTCAAGGTTGACAACTACCAGCATAAGGGCGCGCCCGTCTTCCCACACCCCAGGGGTTAAAACCCCACTGCCAGCGGATGCAGACAATACCCCTTCTAAAGTGAGTGGCTTTTGGATGTTCTATTTACGGCGTCAACAGACGGTTTGAGAATGATTCAAAGGCAGCCATCCTTGCCCAGATTTTGCAAAGCCAGCTCTACCTGCTGTGTTCGAAGGTTCCCTTGTAACACCATCCTTAGCTGGTGGTCTGGTTGGTGGTTTGGGGGCTTTAACACGGGAAACCACGGTGGTGAGGTGAGTCAGTCTCCCTCCAAGTGGTGGTTTGAAGGAATGCCCGAGGAATCTTTGCCACTCCGACCACGTCGTGGACGACGCCCGGCGATTGCAGGACTTGGCCCACCGCTTGGACCCCCTCATGGGACGCCTCGTCTCCGAGCCTTGGGAGAAAAGAAACGGGCAGACTTCGGATTGCCCTCAACTCGCTGATGAAAGTTCAGTGCTTAAAGGCTTGGATGCGTTTTTGCTTGATCTTTACGACTCGAAGCATGAGTCGATCCCCCATGATTTGTCCGTTACACTTTAATCTTTTAGTTGTTATTCATGGCCTCCGGCCTGGTTCCGCCGCCCCTATAAAGAGGTAAGGCTCAGCCCTGGGGACAGATACAGAATCAACCACAGACACACAGACACACAAACACAACGACAGAGAAACACAGAGACACAGAGACACACAGACACACAGACACGCAGACACACACAGACACACAGACACACAGACACACAGCCAGACAGCCAGACAGACAGACACAGACAGAGACAGAAGCACAGACACAGACACAGACACAGACACAGACACAGACACAGACACAGACACAGACACAGACAGAGACACAGACACAGACACAGACACAGACACAGACACAGACACAGACAGAGACACAGACACAGACACAGACACAGACACAGACACAGACACAGACACAGACACAGACACAGACACAGACACAGACATAGACAGACAGAGAGAGAGAGAGAGACAGACAGAGAAACAGAGACAGACAGAGAGACAGACAGAGAGAGAGACAGAGAGACAGACAGAGACAGACAGAGACAGACAGAGACAGACAGAGAGACGGACGGGACTTGGATTTGATTTGACGCTTTGTATTGGTAGACAGACAAGACAGAAGAGATGCAGAGAGAGACAGAGAGAGACAGACAGAGAAACAGAGACAGACAGAGAGACAGACAGAGAGAGAGACAGAGAGACAGAGAGAGAGACGGACGGACGAGACCTGATCCTGGCAGACAAGCCGAGCTGCAGTGAGCAGTATATATAGCATGCAGACACATTGCCACAGACACAGAGACACAGACCCATGACACGCAGACGGCACAGACACGCAGACGGCCAGACGCACAGACACGGGCACACACAGACACACAGACACACAGACACACAGACACACAGACACACAGACACACAGACACACAGACACACAGACACACAGACACACAGACACACAGACACACAGACAGACAGACAGACAGACAGACAGAGACAGACAGAGAAACAGAAACAGACAGAGAGACAGAGAGAGAGAGAGAGAGAGAGAGAGAGAGAGACAGACAGAGACAGACAGAGACAGACGGACGGACGGACGGACCGACAGACAGACAGACACAGACACACACACACACAGACACACAGACAAAAAGACACACAGACACACAGACACACAGACACACAGACACACAGACGCACAGACCCACAGACACACAGATACAAAGACACACAGACACACAGACACACAGACACACAGACACACAGACACACAGACACACAGACGCACAGACACACAGACACACAGACAGACAGACACACACACACACACACCATCATGTTCATCGTTATCTATCTATCTATCTATCTATCTATCTATCTATCTATCTATCTATCTATCTATCTATCTATCTATCTATCTATCTATCTATCTATCTATCTATCTATCTATCTATCTATCTATCTATCTATCTATCTATCATCATCGTGGTCATCGTCATCGTCATCATCATCATCTTCATCACCATAATTTCCATCATCATGTTCATTACCATTTCCATCATCGTGGTCATTGTCATTTCCATCATCATGTCCATGTCCATTTCCATCATCATGTTGATCTTCATTTTCATCATCATGTTCATCATCATTTTCATGATCATTGTCATTATCGTCATCATCATCATTTGCCATTTTGTTGTCCATCCTCATGTTCATCATCATGTTCACCATCATTCTCCAGTCCACGCATTTTCGCGTCCAAGGGGGGAAAATCAGCACAGAACACACCGCCCCCATGCCAAAAGCATGGTCCATTCTGGACCAGGCATGGCTTTTAGTTGCTATGTTCCCCTTTTGGTCCATTTCCCAAAAAGTGCCAGGCCCTTTGGGCAAGTGCGAATTGGCTTGTTGAGGCCAACTACAACGAGTTCAACGGCAACAAGACGCCCATGGACCTTATGGGCTTCGATTATGGCCCCGAGCCCCGGCAAAAACCTGGAACGTTTGGGGAACATCAGATTAGTGGTAAACAAGACGTTTCGCAATTCGTTCCGCCCGATCCGCTTATGAAGTGAGTTGTTTTTCATTGGTACCTGGACCTTCCAACGTACCTGAAATGTCTGTCTCCCCTGTCAATCGGCTGGTTTTTGGAGTTCGCACCTGTTTTTCTTGGCTTGTCCTCTTTTTTGGAATTCGAGCAGTTGGGCTGTCAGGTCCTAATATGACCTGCTCGCGCAGAACTTGTGTGCAACAAGAGGGCACATTTGACAAGTGCTCATTTGAAATATAAACATCGGGCACTTGTTCATTGCTCGGGCGGAAATTGAAGACTCGGGCACAAACTGTGTGTTCTGCTCGGTATCAATGAAAGGTCGAAGTAGATTTTCAAGTTGGAGTCAGCTTGTAGCAACTTTTTAGTTCACGAGCTTCAACTTGCCACATGGGTGGGAAGCTGAAGGAGATGTACGACCGCTGGCACGCTGAAGCGCCTTGGAAGCCATCGATTTCCAGCGAGACCTCCTCCGCCTACTCCGACCGAGGCCGATTCGCAGGTCGCCTTTCGATGGAACTCCATTTGATGGAAAATGGGAACCTTTTACCCTTTTTTTGAGGGAGAGCTCCCCTACTAAAATAGACTACAGAAAAAGTCGGGTACCCTTATTCTAACCTCTCTGCTGGAGGACCTGAAGCCTTTCATGGGGACTGGACTTGACGGCCAAGGGACCGCTTGGCGTTAGCTAGGCCTCTCTTTTATGGACGGTCATTTTGCTGGAACTCTCAACCCGTCTTGATGTCCACAATCAGGTAACCCTTGATTAATTGCGGGTTTGGACATTGTAAAAGAGGAATTGAACCTGTTGTTCTAGAACCAACTTCAGCTTAGTACCCCCGAGTGGACAATTGCCAATCTCAGGACCCCCGCCCGCTAAGTTCGATGTCAGTTGGTGGGCGGTTTCCCTACTGGCTGACGCCAACGTTGGATTAATCTGGGGAATCATATTAATCACAGGAATCCACCCAAAAGGAATAGATCCTCCACTGAGAAGGGGACTACTCTTGATTAGTACCGTGCTCCGGATTACTCTGAAAGTTGACAATAGCAACAAGTCGACAACTTTGCACTAGGGTCGATTTGACCAACCCGAAGCGACCAGCTCAAGCATTTTTGGCCACCACACATCACCACGCCCATTTCTTCCTGCAATGGGCCACAGGTTGTTGCTCAGAACAAATTCACAAACCGTATCCATTTTTCAGTCACAGTCTCTCAGGCCTGGTGCAGAACGACCCCAAGACCGGCCACGTGCGAGACTATGATACCGAGCATCCCTCCTGGGGGCAGACAGCGCAGGTCGGCGTGCTCTAAGGGATGCCGTAAATCCGTTCATTGAGGGCAGGCTACATGTGGATGAGGCTTCAATTCTGACTTTTTGGCGCATGAACCTTGGGCCAAGTAAGGTTCCCCACCAGCATTGCCCCACCATACTGCGAGTTTCTCCAAATAGTGGACCCCCTATCTTGCGGCAAACGAAGCCGGAAACCAACAGGAAACCGTATGCCATCTTGGCAAATGGACCGATTTATCCCCACCCCCTTAAAAATGGAATCGGGGGATGGGGGCGACCCTCTAGAATTCCTTAGCAGTTCCATTTTCCTGGTGGGGAAGACTAGCAACATCGGGGACCGGGTCACCCCAATTCCCAAAGTAAGGGGATTGATCCCTCCCTTTTTTCGAGTGGACCCCCTTTTTTTTGTTCGCGAAAGAAGCTGGCAAAAGAAACACGGGAACCCAGCCAGTCAGCCAGTTACCCCAACTCCTCATTCAACCCAATTCTCTCCACTCAGTCTAATGTCCAGCCTGTCTGAACCCCAGTACTGTTGTCATGTTGAGAATCGGATCCGATTTATCCCCACCCCCTGAGAAATAATGCCCGCAAAAGGGAACATGGAACCGCCGGTGGAATTCTATGGGGCCACCCTCCTCCCCCCACGCGGATCTGATTTCCCACTGACGTCAGGTGGCCTGGCAGGCCATCCTCAGGCGCCCCTTCGTGGCGGGTGGCTTTACCTGGACTGGCTGGGACTACCGGGGGGAGCCTACGCCATACGCCTGGCCGGACGTGAGCTCACACTTCGGGATCCTGGACACGTGGCATGGGGGGACTTTTCCGTTTGTCTTCCCTTTTAAGACCACCAAAACAGGGGGGGGTCTACAACAAAAGGAACCACACCCAATTCTCTTGGTGAACTGAACCTTTAAAGGGGGGCGTTGATCAATGTTGCTGAGGGGGTGTTCCTGAGTGTAGTGGTGAATCATCACTTTTGGAAGGGAACCCCAATATTGATAAACCAGGCGTTTCTTAATATGGGGTCAGCATTATTCCCGAAAGGACCATGCAACACACTTTCCAACCCTGTGGTTGACAGGGTTGATCAGCCCAGTGGCCCAGTGGATTCCGCCCCCTTTTTTTCCAACTTCTTTTTGGGGAAGAAGTTCCCCTTCAAACTCAACCAACCAAAAAAGGATGCCCTTTTTGTTCGCCATGGCCACTGTGCATCTGAGTCTATCTTCCCCAAAGGGCCATGGAACACCTATCCCATGTGGTTCACATATCATCTTCGCGGTTGTCCAACCAATGGTCATCCCATGTAGAGGACCTTTTGATCAACGCGGTTTGAAGACTTGGAACCACCTACTGTGGACCCCTGATTAATACCTGCGCCACTTACTATCAAGGGGACACGGTTTAGTACGGTGTGCTTTCTTCCAGTGGGACCTCCCTTGATTTATAACTCTGGGTATTAATATGAATCAGGGGGTGGCATCAAGTGATTGGTGGACCAAAACCCACCAAATCATGATGCCCAAAGAGGCCACCTGTGAAAATTCACGAGTGGAAAAAATAAAGGCGCTGACTTGTTTGTTTGCCATGAGCGAGTTGTTTGTCTGAATTAGTTGGAACCTTGGCAGGCCAAGGGTTTTGTTTCGAATTGCTTACCGTACTTGTTCCCAATGATATGTGTGCTGTTGTTTCTTTTGCCGTGTTGCTCGGCTTGCATTTGTGTAAAATCCTTCATGCGCCCTTTGATGCCTTTCGCCTTTGTGTAACAAAGCTTACGCTTTTGATGGGAACCCAGTTGCAGTTGATAACCAAGCCCTTCAGGGAGCGTCCCATGTCTGAGGATTCGAAGATATTCGAGTGCTTCTCGGGCGGGGCCATGATATGGGTTTTGGGGTTTAGGGGCTGCTGATGCGTTCTTACTTCATAGGTTCCCACCTGTAGCCAGCCTGGGTCACTGAGGCAGTCTGCATGGGTCAGCGGCAGGAGGCTTGCGTCATTTGCCATGATTCCGGGGCGAACATGTTGGTCTAAGCCTTCGAAACTAGAGGGGAACTGCCAAGAGAAGCTTCTGGGAAAAGCGGCCTGTGCACTTCAACGTTTGTTGGGAGAGTGGCTTTCTGATCTGTTTTCAACTTGTTGGTTGTCCTTCATTGAACTGTTTTCAACAGTGGCACTCAATAGGTTTTTTCACGGCGCCTTTTTCGACCTTTTTGCATGTTCGGATTCCTCAAACAACTCTTGAGGGCACCCCCTTCTTGCGTGTTTTAGGGGCACCGAGGCAAAACCACAAGCTTGGGGGTCCAAATCTCTAGTGTGTTTCTGTTGTAGGGACCCCCAAATGGTGGTGGTTTTCCTTTTGGTTCCCCTTTGAAGCCCGAAAGGGGGGGTACCCTCAACGAGAAACAACGAGAAACACGCCCATTGTGAGCCACGCACGCGCATGAGCTCCTTCGGTTTCGCCTCGCCGAGGACATGGCGGGCTTCTGGCAGCTTGGACTCGAAGGGAGCCATCGGTGAAGCCCCAGCTGACCCCTTGGAAGCAGCATCTCCGCGAATGGGTGTGGTCGTGTGCGTGTCTTTTTGGGTGAGGCCACCCTTTTGCGGGTGCTAAAAAACGGATGACATGAGGAAAGCCGCCATTTTCAGCGCCCCCTATTTTGAGACACATCCCATTTGTTGGCTTTAATGCCTCCTGAGCCTGTTGCGAACAATGGGATTTTCCCGCCCGCTGGGCACGGTACCCACAGTACCGGCTTTCCCCAAAAACCGGGGAGCGCTCGAGAAAGCTGAGGTTGCTGTGAGTGCCAAGTCCCTGTTTACTTGGTTTCCCTTTGGAGTCTACTTGCTCCTGGATCTACTTGCGTCGGCCTCTGAGTTAACCTAGGTTGCAACCCCAGCAGTGGAGTTTATCTGTTCGGAGGCTTGTAGCCCAAACCACGTACCTGCCCGAAGATCCGAGCATGGAGCGACTTCTGAGGAAGCACCGCGCCCATTGGTACCACGCGTGTTGGACCTCGGCGTCTCCGCCGGCTTTGCACCTGCTGCCCCACTGGAACTGGGCCGAGAACCAGACCGTGGAGGCGCCGGAATCGGAGACCTCCCCTCAGCACAAGACACCAACTTGTCGCCTCTTTTGCCCGATAGGGATCAAGAATCAACGCGCCAGGGTACTGGCCATTCTCCCCATGAATGAAATAACGTAATTTTGCTGGCGTTGATTTTCAATGTGTTATTTGCATTAGTATTTGCATGTCGTTCTTGAAGAGGCCCTGTATTGAGTTGGCAAACGTAAAACTTGTTCCGACCAAAGCCTTTTGCGCATGTCCAAGTAATTCCATTTTTTGTGTAGCAGGTATCAAAGAGAACCAGCACCAGCTTCTAAACCAAGGGTGGATGCCTGGTTACTAATTATATATAGGATTGACTGCTATTGGGTTGGATCTTTAGACTTTAACTTTTCGGGAAATCAAGGCGTTTTCCACTAAAAAGCTAAACCTTTTGCAGGGGGGTCAACAGCAATCAAGTAGGTAACTGGGATCCACTGGGTGTGTTTTGTTGAGATCTGTCCCGCCTTTTCAGATGGACGTTGTTCGTTGAGGTGTTTGTTGTGTTGGGGGACGCTAAGACGGGGTTGCTCGTCTTCGCGAACCCCAAATTGTTCATGGCCAAACCAGGAGGTCAAACGGCTGCACGTTGGCCTTTGTTAGTGTTGGGGGTAGGGGGGCTGTAAGTCTGGCAAATGCCTTCGAGTGAAGAAGCCTTTCGCTGCACAGTTTGACCCCGTGCAACGGAGAAGACACCTCGTGAAAAGATGCAAATACAGTCAACGGCGCTTCGCATCGTTGAGGTCGCGAGTTAGCATTGGGTTTGAAGGCGCGAACGTGTAGAAGAAAGTTCGGAATTGAATGGGATCTCTCCGAAACAGGAGGCAAAATCCGCTTGACAGATGGTAGCAAACTCCCCCAAAAGAGAAAAACATCTTCCGGACAACAATGTAACAACAACCCCCTGCACAAAAAGCCGGATTGAGGGCCACAAAGTCTTCGCTTGACAAATGGCCACAGGCTGTGGATCAAGCCACTGTAACGAGCGTGGCCATCGTATGAGTCAGCGCTGCTAGCCAAAGGCCTCCTTTTACCATGTTGCTCTTTCAGCGTAGCTTTGAACCCGCAGGAAATGGCAGAATTACTCAAACCAGACAAGAACGCGCGAAAAGCAAAGGGCGGCTGCTTCAATCGAAACATGTTTAACATAAAACCATGTTGAACTACACCAGTGACCGTGTAACCTACAACCGCTGCTTACAGCCTTGAGCATGCCCTGGATTTCTGTTGTTTGCTTACGACCTGCAGCCCGAGGATTGCAATTTTGGTGGGCAGCGGCCCGGTTATCAGCTTGTTGTGTTTCACGTCAAGCCTGTTGACTCTGCAACGGCTCTCCTAAGAAAAGATCAGTTATGGGGGGTGTCTCGTTGTTTAGGTGCCGTTTTCCTTGCGTTTCCCCTTTTACAGCCACAAGAAAAAAGGATCCTCCATACTCCAGCCAGAAATGGTCGATGATTCTTGTCGGGTTTTAGGGAGCACCCTGTGTGCAGTCAACTAGTCATCCCTCGGTGCTCATGTTTGGGCACGTGGGTCCTTATGTTCCCTAACCCAATGGTACCCATACTCACTCCACTCCCTCAACACCAGTGAGTATAACGATGTCTGGAACATGTCCTGCACTTGTCAGGGTTCGCATCCCCAGGCCACATTCACCTTGGTCACCTTGGGTGGTCTCAAAACCTATGACTTTTGGAGGGCGGGGGGGAAGCACACCCCAAGACTGGCACGTGGAGTATTGTTGCACCTTTGAATCCTGGGGCATGAAATCTCATTGTTTGGGGGTGTGGTCCCACGCTTGCACGGTACTCCCTGGTAAGTGTTCGAGCTGTCACCAACCAACGGATGCTTGCTGGCTGGTTCGCGTCCTGCAGACACGAATTTCTGAATAGCGAAACGAGGGGGTAGAACAAGAGCTCGGGCAAAGAAATGCCTATCCAAACGCAAGCGACACCCCACGAAACCTGCAAGTGCCGAGTCCCGAGCCCCCCTCCCGCAAAGGGCCGAAGGGCCAACCCCTCGAAGCCCCGGCGACGATGCATGCCATCCCTCGCCTTGCCGAGGTGTGGGCGTATTCCAACGTGGAAGAGGTGGAGCTGAGCCTTACCAGTCGAGGTGGTTCAAGGGCATTTCCAGGTCTGGTTGTTGGAGGTATGGAGGCTTACATGTTATCAAGAGCTTGTAACGCAGTGCAGCCCTATTAATTAAGTGGTAAACAACTATCTGACCTCCATACCTCAAAAGCCAATCCCTGGAAAGTCCCTTGAAACATTGATATGCTCTGATTCCAGTTCTGGAAGATGGCTACCGAACTTGAGGGATGGATGATCCGGCCGCCCCGTGTATGGGAAGTGACCATCCCCGCAATAAGTTTCTACAGGGAGGTTTTAGTTGACCGCAGATGTTGAGTGGGTTCCACCCTTCCCTTCGTTTTGTTTGGTGGGGTCACCAAAGAACCTTGCTTCGTCAGGGGGCACAGGCCTAAACACGACATGACCTTCATGTTTTGTTGCTCGGAGTTTTGTGTTATGTTGTTTCTTTGCAAGGCCTACATTGAAGAAGCGTTTCCCTTGTTGGTGGGAATGAGTTCATCAAGCAAATGCCACGTGTTTGCATTTGTGTTTGCAAGGATCGTTGCATAAGTGATCCGCGAGCGCAGAAAAAGACCAGAGCTTTGTTTGCCTCCCCTTATTCCAGGCACCCTGGCACCCCGGAACTGTTCCTAGGTTATAATAAGGAATTTGCCCCGAACGAACGCATGATCCGCATGTGTTTGAGACCTTCGCTTTGAAAGGAACCCGGTGACTAGTACATTATTTAACGGCGAGGTAGTAGCCGCTCTAGTTTTTGGCCCCCCTATGTTGACGCATGGGGGGGGTACCCCAAAATGTGCGGTTTTCCTGTTGGTTCTCATTTCAACCGACCCAAATACGGGTGCCCTTTCCTCCCACCCCCCCACCCCCCCTTGGCATCAAAAAGAAAGAAGAAGAACAAAACAAAACAAGAACAGTTCCCATTTCCACCCCGGCAGACACGGGACCCAGAGAGATGTCCATTTGAGCCGCTCGGGCCTGAGGATCCACCCCAGCGGCAGCTCCATGGGTCGCCGCTTTCCCGTCGCCGGAAATTGCTCCCACTTCGAATGGCCGGAGGTGCTTCCTCCGGCGGCCGGATTCGAATCGACCCCAGATTTGTTGATATGGGGGTGTTCCCCCCCCAAAGTGAAGGTTCCCCACCAAAACCCGCAACCCACATTAGTAGACTGGGGTGGATTAATATGGGGTGAACACAAAGAAGCCAGGAACGCCTTCTGCATGCATCCCGAAAACCAGCTTTTCCTCGCTTTGCGCCGCTGAGGCGAGCCAAGGCGAGCCGTTTCTCTGGTCCCACCATATTTGGTCAGCTGCTTGGGAAGCGAAGCTGGTATCCAACTTCGCTAAACAGGGAGCTGCCGGGGGCTATCCGGTGAAGACATGGCGGAAAAGGCGATCCCTTTGTCCAAGGTTGGACAACGGCCCAAGGTGATCTGACTTTTCGGCAACCTCTCAGGTTGTTGGGGAAACTCCTGGGCACAGAGGCCATTGGGTTTGGTGCATGCCTCAACTTTTCCACATGGCATTGGGGGAGCGGCCAGCAGAACTCCGCTTTTTGGGGCTCGGTTTAGTGCGGATCATTGAGGCGGTTCAGTTTTTGGGGTTGGCGAACAAAGGGAAACCGCCCTCCCCAAAAAAGAACCACCAGTTAGGAGGAACCCAAGCAACAGTGTCGATTGGTGTGTGTTCTAGGGGGCCTTTTATTTTTGGGTTGTTTTCACGGGGAAACAAAAGGGATGCTACCCATTTCAGGGGTTCCCCATTGCGACACGTCCCAATTTGTCCCTTTGTGCGCAACTTGGAGGGCAATGTCCAGGTGCGTTTCCAGGCGGGCAGCCTACGGGCGCGCGGCTACGTGAACGGCCAGGCGCGTATTGAGAAGAACAGTGGGGCGAAGACTTCGCGCGTGGTTGTGGAAAGTTGGGCGCTGAAAAACGACATAATTCAAGCACGTTAACTTACTTCAGATGGTTTCATATGAGCCGGTTTCAATCAGTTCATCAGTTCTTGCAAGACTTTTTAAGCACCGCTGTGAAGGCCCATTTCCTGTGAACCAAGGGAAGCTGGCAAAGTAGACAGGGATGGCCCACTTTGCTATCACAGAAAGGGTTAGAATCATTTGGGGGACGTTCGGAGAATTTGGAGGCTTAAGCGGCTGAAGTTTACTTAGCAAAGAAGCCCAAAACTCGTCCGTAAACCCATGGTTGACTCTGGTTTGGGGGGGGGGGGCTCCCATTTTATCGGGCATCCTGCACTATTTCTGACCAGCCGCTCAACCAACATTCCACTGGTATTTGGATACACCCCCTCGAGAGTATGTGTCCCCAAACTGGTGGTTTTCCGCTCGGCCCCCCCTTTTGGAGCCACCCCGAGGAGCAGCGACAAGCTCAGGTGAGGTGCTTTGGGGTCTATGTGGTGGAACCCGGGATTAATAAACCCCTGGCTGATTAACAGAGGGGTGTCTCTGTTTCGTGGGGTTCAGACTTCCGGAGGGAATGCCCCCTATTGATAGGACGTGAATAAAATAAATCCGGGGCGATCCTTTAAAAGTCACACTTTTGGGGAGGATGTTTGTCCAATATATGCAGGGGGTTGTCCTTTTTGCTTTCAGGGCGCCTTTTGGTGCCCTGTGGCCTGTGAATCAGGAAGTTCGGAAGTCACTGTGGGCTGATTCGCTGTTGTTCCTGAAAGAAGCTGGCACTGGCCAACTAGGTATTTGTCGAGCATATGCACGGCTGTCATCTGATGGAACAACAATAAACCCACCATAGAGAAGAAGTGGCGGACGCTCCTACTATTTGGAAAAAGAGTGTAGGTCTAAATCCAGGGCATTTAAATCAGCTTCCTTTGGATTGCCGCATTTGAACAATCCCAAAAAGGGTGCCCTCAAGAACAATCATGTCACATACCCATCTGCAATCCCAACGGCCGAACAAACTGCCAGCTTTTGGCCTTCGCTTCCCACAAGCAAACACGGCAACAGGAAGCGATTCGCTTCTCAAACAACTGATCCAACCTGCAGTCAGTGTACATCTGTTTTAGCAAGTCAAGACTTTTGGCGTTTGGGTCTCTCCCAAAGCTGTTGAGGCCAACCACCTTTCTATGTTGATTACCTTTCTTGAGATTCGAATCACCCAAGACGTTTGGAGGGGAGAGAGGTGGCAACCATCTCTGCGCATGCCTTGATGTTTTATCAACCATCCCCTTTTTGTGAGCAAGCTGGTTCCAATGCTTCAGTTGGGTTCCATTTTGGGGAGGCCAGGCGCTTGGTAAGGATCCAACCTCCCAGACTCCAGGGAAAACAGGCAGGTTTGCTCCATCATGTTTTTAGGTAGGCTTATAGAAAGCACCGCCGCACATGTTTGGTCAGTGTGCGTGTCAAAGTTGAGCAGGGAGCACATCCGCACTTCATTGCGCGTTTTACGAAATGAACAAGTCCTTCACCAGCCCTGCCTTACCCTGCCAAAGGAGGTTCCTCCAGAAATTGGCGAGCCTTTTTGGGTTCCAATTTAATCTTTAGAGGACGATGCTTCGTCTATTGGGTGGCTTAATTTTCATGATTCACCCAGATGGTTGCGGAGAAACTCCATGTCTTTGTGCGACTTGAGTGCCAAGTAGTGATGGCCCACATGGTCACAGGCTCTGATCTCCTCGTTTTTTTTGTTTGGGGGTTCTAAGGGTACACCCCTTGGCCAGGTACCACACCAACCCATCAATTCTGCGGGGTTGTTTTACAGGGAAACCAAAACGAGACCAACCACTCAGGAGCTTCCCCCATTTGGACGCACGCACCCAAATAGTTCAAATTTCCTAAAGGCACACAAACAAATTGGGTGGATTCCTGCAAACGTATGGTCGGGCCACCATGGCTCAAACATGAAAGGGGCTGAATAGTTAGTTCCACCGGAAACCCCCCTCCCATGCCTCTCGAGGTGGTGGCCATGACAAGCGTGAGCACCACGGGCCCTGCGAGCGCTCTGAGGGTTGCCTTCAAAGATGGGCTCGGGGCGGTGCCCAAGAGCAAGGACGGATTTTTCTGCAGTTGGGACGGATGAAACCTGGCTGAAGCCCTGTGAACACTGTGATTGCTGGGATAGTTAAGCAACTGAGCAGGGGGCTTTTGTCCATCCACAGTGGGATCCCGAGAGCAACGAGGAGGATCGTACTAATCAGGGGCCACCACGGCGTGACGTTCCCTTTCAAACATGTCGGGACAAGCGGGGGATCCTATTCAGAATGGAGGTTGGGAGTTCAATCTGATGGGTTCAGATGGCGTGATCATGGGCAAAAATGCATTCCGTGTCGGTACCAAGAACCGGTTTCGCCCAAGTTGTGAATGAAGCCTTCTGTGAAGGCTTCCGAGAGCCTTCCAGCAGCCTCTAAGGTTCTGAGAGCCTGGAAGGTTGTGGTGCGAGTGGGGACTGGGATAAGTAAATTATGGTTCTAAGTCATAACTTCAACTCCTTGGTTCTGACTGGGATAAGTGAGGTGAGTGAGGTGAGTTCATGTGGCTCTGACAATGTCTGAGGGTGGTGGAGGTGAGTTCTCATGATGTCCACAGGGTCTGTTCTCGTCTTAAATCGTCTTAACAACAAACACGAAATGGGGAACTGTCTGCAGGCATGTTTGAGTATTGTTTCTGCGTTACCACTTGGTTGCTTGCTATTTGCCCCTTGAATCACACGAACATATCAAAACACGTTCCCTCTTCACATTCACGCACATGTATCTGGTGTACGAGCTCCGGCCCTTTTTGGCTCGCCGGCAGGAAGTGGCGCTGATTTCCATCGAGGTCGTCGATCAGCACGGGAACTTGGTGCCTACAGCCTCCAACGTCATCACTGTGACAGGCCTCGCAGGCGCGTGCGCCGTTGGGATGTCGGGCAGGGGGCCACCCCGAGTTCGTGGGATTTTAGTGACCTGGGTTTGGTTTGAGTGGAAAGCCACAAGTTTGGAACTGAGACAAGACTTGAACATGGAGAGAGAACACAAAGTCCTCACCTCCTAACACCCCTCTGTTACTGGGCACGCACACACACACACACACACACACGCATGGAAGAAGAAACCAGTTGGAGATCGCTGGAAGACCATTTTCCTCTGGGGAGTGCCTGGAATATCCCGCAGTGGCCAGATGTTTTGATGGCACATACGGCTGATGGGTCCTATCATGTTTTAAGATGGTGCCCACTACTACTTTCAGGGGTGAAGAGGGCAAAGTAAGAAAGCTATTTCGTTCGGGCGCGGCGGGGGGAGGGAGAGGAGGGGGACCTTGGTACCATCTGGGTATTCCCACGGGTTCTTTGTGGAAACCATTACGTTAGATAGTGCTTCAGCTGGAACTGGAGTTGGTCTTCCTTAGAACGGCTGCAACCTCCCCATCCCCACCGGAATGCAGGGCTCCCTTTGACCCCACAGTTCGCTGTCAGAATGATCAGTCTGATCTGCACAAACTGCAGCTTTTCTTGACTGCTATTGGGTTGGATCTTTAGGCTTTCACTGTTTGGGAAGTTAAGGGTGTTTCAGAGTTTCCACTAAACTCCCAACAAGTTAAACATATTTTTGCGGGGGGGGGGTCGTTGCAGCAACCAAGTTTCCCGTGAAGACCTAGTCCAGCTGAGAGGAACATGTCAGTATGGAGCTCCCAGGCGCCACTGTGCTGGGCACTTGCAGCGGGGACCCGGCCGACCAGGCGCCCGGGAGTGACTGGGAAGGAGCCCCTACGAAGCATCCAACGGGGTTCTCGCTGAGGGGAACTTTAAGGGTCATGTCCAAAACCTCCTGCGAAAGTCATCGGTTTACTTGCGCTTTGTTTGCGATTCAACGTCTCTCGCGTCTTCAGAAGCGCTTGTGAGCTAGATGAGTCCTTGCAAGCCAGTGATTGGTCCCTTGACAGGTTTTGTTCCAGGGAGTGGGCTTTTATGCTCATATGATGCATGCTTTTGCACCTGGATTGCTCATGGTCAGAAGCACCCATGGTTGAAAGAATTACTTCCCACATGTTTGGGAGCAGATGCCCTTTCTCGAAGACCGCTCTCCAAAGCGTTCTCAACGTGCACGTCCACCCTCCTACTTGCCCGGCTTTGGACTGTAAACAAACTCTTGAGAGGATCAATTTAATGGCAAACAAACAGTTTGTAGGTTTTCTGGTTGCAATTCGCTCAGCAAGTGAGATTACCCCGGCAAGCCCAAGCGAGGTGCTGAGATTGCTTCTGCGCGGCTGAAGTATGTGCCTGTTGTAACACTTCAGGAGCCCACAACCCCCCCCAACCTGGTTCAACCTCCCCAAACCGTGAAGGCAACATTTGGTCGGAGGTTTATCAAACTCTAACTGTAGGGGTTGGCTTTGCAGGGCGGTTTGTGGGGACAACCAGCCGGCAAAACCACAAGTGCCAAGGGAAGCACCCCTAGCCCCAAGCCAACAAATCAGTCTTTACTGTTTATTCGGGGGGTTCTGTCAACCTGGAAAGACATACTTTGAGATTCCATTGAACTGCAATCACTTGAGCAGGGCTGCCTCTTAAAGAAAGGTTCCTTGGGGGGGTGATGTCCAACAGGGAAATGCGAGAACCCTCACTTCCCGAGTTCCTGGAATTCAAGCACTTTTTCGGGACCATTTCAGTGGGAACAAAAGGGGGAAGAGTTCGGACTTTCTTCTGGCCGATCCACTCAAGTGAGAACCTCAGCATGATTCAGGTATAGTGGAACACATGCAGAAAGTTCGGACGGTTTTTCTAGCCAATGCACTCAGGTGCCCAACGCGTCGCCTTGGCGCAACGCCTTCGGTGGCCGACTGCTGGCAGTGGCCCGTGCTGCGCCCGGGGCGCGGCTGGCAGTGACGAGCCCGGGTCTGCCCACTGCGGAGCTGCAGTGGCCCTCGACTTTGGTGGTGTGACTGGCGAATGACCCCTACCAAGGGAAACCTGCCTTAAATGCGCCAAGAATCACGAAAACGCCACATGTTTAACTAACACCTTTTATGGCTAGTTGGTAGCGGATCTTTGAACCTTAGCTTTTGGGAAACAGATCGGATTTTCCGAATTGGACCCACAAAAGTTAAACACTTTTTGCAGAGGGATCAACAGCAACCAAGCATGGAAAGAGTACATCGGGCCTACCACAAATTCCTTTTTCCTGAGCATAAGGGGATCTGATCCAGCTGTTTGTTTTAAAGTGGTTTTGGACGTCTCACAATGGATTTTGGGGCGTGGGGGTGGGGGTCCCCTTGAAAACACCATGTAGACGCCACTTTGGAGGATGCCACTTTACTCGACCCGGAGCGTTGGATGTCAGCTTGGAATGTGGTTTAAAGCGGCGCCCAAAGCGGCACTCTGCGCATCCCAAGGAAGCAAAGGAAGCGATGGTCCTTTCCGGAGTCGATCGTTGCCTACTCTTCACATGTTCAGCTTTGCGAGGTACAATATTGTGCTGATAAAAGGGTTTCTTTGGCCGGTTTCACTTGGGCTTGCTTTGCAACCTGAACCCATCATGCACGCTTTCGTATATCGCCCCTGCATGAGTTAAAATCGGGGTGGTTGAAGCATTCTGTTTAGAAAGTTCTTCAGTTTCAATCAATGGACTGTTCATGTTTCCGAATAAACGAATTAATGGATGCGTTCCTTCTGGCCTTTTGGTTTTCTGGTTTTCCCAATTCATGAAGCCTCCGAAAAGGCGACCTCCTTAACGACGGCCAGTTCAGTCGTAGCCTTTGTCCCTTTGTGCTTGGCGGCCTTGATGCCACCATGGCTTTCCCGCCACAAGGAACGATTTTACTTATCTTTTCCACCTTCCGGGTCACTGCTTGGCCACCGGGGGCCAGTGACGGATCCACTGATCGCTCCGGCGAAGCGGCGACGAGAGGCTGGCAGCTTCGACTCGGCACCGGGGAGCTGCACGTGGTGCAGGCGCGGCCGAATCGAGCCGATGTCCTTAGTGAAGGGGTGGCTTGAACTTGATTCCACCCAGCGCAATATTCCAAAGGGACGCCTAAGTGCCATGGCCCAGCCAACAGTGGATGTCCGTAGGTCAGTGAAAGTGGGGGGGGGGGCTGAAAGGTTGGTTCCAGTCACGTGCCACGGATTTTCAGGGATGCCCTTACATGAAACCTGACCGGCCTCGGTAAGTTGTGGTCGTTTTTTTTGGGCCACCGGCAGGTTTGAAGCCTTGCCATAGCTAGCCTGCTGCAAGTTGGGATTCTTTTCGTGGAGCATATACGGTTCTATGTGGGGTAACCCCTTTAGCGTGTCCTTCACTTGTGGGTCAGATCTATGCTTCCCAGGTTTGCTTGTTTGTTTTTGCGCCGGAAGGCCACGTTCGTGGTAAACAACCATCCTAGACTTTAGCCATTCCACGCGAAAAGTGGGCCTTAAGGGTTTGGCATGGCGTTTCGGGGTTTCGATGGATTTTGGCTCTCATCTTGCTTTGTGACGTGCGATTCACGAGGAGGAGAACCTCCTGGTGTTGGAGCAGGCCAAGGACGAAGGGACTCCCACCCCCCAGACTGGAGTCTCGGGCCCCAGGTTTATGCCACGAGAGGCGGATGCCTGATTCCCTCCAAAAAGGGGGATGGGGGTCGATAGGTAAATGGGCAAGGCAAAACCTTTAGACCCCCAATGGGGAAAAATCGTTCGTTGCTCCAAGCTGTTCCTGAAAGAAGGTCAAACACCCCTTGGGTTCAAACCCGAGAGTTGGCGCAAGTAAGTCACTCGCGGGTTCTCAACAATGGAGCCCAAAGAAGGGCGGATGCCCTTTGACCCCCCAGTCCTTTGAACCCATTTCTACTACGGATTCTGACGAGCCCGCCCGGAGAAGCCAGCTGAAGGTCCTGTTGGGATCCAATTTCTCTTGCAGGTCTTGCAATTCTAAACTTGTAGATCCATGGGGCACATTTCCAGGCACACCTTGGAGCCTATTGGGGCCCCTATTGGGCCTATTGGGGCCATCGGGGTCTTGAGGGACCAAAGGGCCGACCAAATTTCAGGAGAGGCCGGACCTGACCACCTTCGGCACAGAGGCGTGACCGACTCACCTCAAAAGGAGGGCTAAAGGATGCTAAAGGCCAAGCAAAAAGGGGATCGCGCATATGGGGAGTGGTTCAAAAATAGGTACCCCAAATGGAACCCTGGTAAGTGGAGCCATGCACCAAATCCTGCAGTCCCCTGGTGGTTTAATTTTGACCCACACCCAAATAGGGAGTGGGGTCAAAATAAAACCAGGATATGGAGTGCAGGTGAAATCCTCCTTGTTTCCATTTACCACGCCCATTTCCGGCACCTCATTTTTGACCTATATTTATATTTAGCCGTTCACTGGACCTGCTAGAACCGGCCTCATTTCTTACCTTGCGCAATAAGCGAGTTCTGGGCTCGAGACAAGTAAGCAGGAACTGGTTGGGGGCGACTGCACAGGGAACCCCCCTTGTGAACCAATTCATTCCCGAATAGGTTGTAGAAGCGATCCCTCAAGGTCGCCCTACTTGGGGTGTCTTTTGTCAGGTTTTGGACATATTCAGGTAATTCTTAGTTGGTGGTTTGAATTGGTGAGAACGGGGAATTTGAAGAACCCCCTGTATTTTTTAGAGGGTAAAAAACATCTCTAGCCACCAATTTGAGGGAAGCTGAAGTATTGTAGAAGTTCCAGATCGGGGTTACTCCCAGAAGCTTCCGACTTCGGCAACAGAAAATGGAACACTGCCCGCCTCGAATCCCAGAAAGCTTTGATTCGCCAGAAGCGAATCGACCTTTTAACTGGTTTTCCCATGTTAGTCCAAGTTTAGTGGCCATGTATTATTGTGTAGAAAGCACCTTCATCACCACAAAGTGGCGCACTTCGTCAGCAAGGAGATCAGTCAGCCTTCCTGCTCTCCTTGAGCGGACCGCGGAACCTGATACAGATGACCAAACTGACACGCTGGAGGAGCGTGCCTCTGCTCTGATCGCAGACTTTGAGGCGGGCAAGAGATCCAACGCATGCGCCGAAGCGCAGGAGTCCCTCCCCCCCTCCCTCCCTCCATCCCTCCGTATGCCCCGCTTAAGCGGGCCCTTTGTGAACCTGGACAAGCAGCAGCGCCTCGCTTTGCGCGGCCTCAGTGAGGAAGAGAGTTTGAGCCTCGTCCTTCCCTATCTGAAGGCTTGGGCGGAAAAGCTGCCGCGAGCGAGCCGAGTTCATCTCATGGAGCTGCACTTGGCATGCTTGCAGGTTCCTGAGCCCCCCCTCCACCACACTTATGCTGAAGAGTCTGAGCCGAGCCCTCTGCAAAATGAGCTTCAACCGCCTCATGCAGATGTGCCCTTGTAGAAAACTGGAACCTATTCAGTCAGCCGTTCTGGAGTTGCAAGCCAGCTTCGGCGAGGCAAGTACTGACTGATCCGGATCCAGCATGCAAACAAAATGCATTGCTGATTTAAGAGAGTATGCTTAGTCTGCTTTCAAGCTTTGTCAGGTACTAACTGTTCCGGATCCAGAACTCTGTTGAAATGCAGAATTCGCATTGGTGACTTACAGAGGCAGGCTTAATTCTGCCTTGTAGCTTTGTAGCTTTGTAGCTTTGTAGCTACGAGTGCCTTTCAGGGTTTCAGAAGCACTTTCAATTGCTGATGCGTGAGTGCGCAGAGAACGCGAGCATCCAGCCGTTTGTCAATGCCTCTTCCGCTATTGTTGTTTTTGGTAGCTCCTTTCGCCAATCTAAGACACATTCTTAAGAAGTACCTGAATGAATTGTCGAAGCAGAGAGCTGCTCTGTAGCAGTAGCATGTTCCTGCTTTGTAGAATTGCAGCTACGACCCCCTCAGAGGAGCACTCAAAAGCTGAGTGCTGCCATGCGCAGTGAACGCGAGCATCCAGCAATTTGTCAATGCCTCTTTTGGGATTGTTGTTTCTGGCAGCCTTTCGGCAATCGAAGACGTCCTCACAGGCATGCCGAGAGGCATTCTGAAGAAGTGCCTGAATGAATTGTTGAGGCAGAGAGCCGTTTAGTAGCTTTGTCAAGTACTGACTGATCGGGATCCGGCAGTTTGCCGGAATCCAGAATGAGCATTGGCCATTTGAGGAGGAATGCTTGATTCTCAATGTAACTGCAATAAGCACTGTTTGTCAGGGAAGCGTTCAAAGGCTGATGCTTGTACTGCACATGGGTCAAAGCGAGCATCCAGGAATCTGTCAATGCCTCCTGTGGGATTGTTGTTTCATGGCGGCTCTTTCGGCAATCGAAGATGTCTTTTCAAGGGGCATGCCAAGACGCATCCCCTCTGAATGAATTGTCGAAGCAGACCACCTTGTAGCGTTGTGAGGTACAGATTGGTCCGGATCCAGGAATTTGTTGGAATGCAGAATTAGCGTTGGTGACGCACAGTGGCATGCTTGATTCTGTGTAGCTCTGTAGCTTTGTAGCTACGAGTGCCTTTCAGAGTTTCAGAGGCGCTTTCAATTGCTGATGCGCGTGCTGCGTGTGCAGTGAACGCGAGCATCCAGCCAGTTGTCAGTTGCCTGTTCCGCTATTGCTGTTTTGGTAGCTCTTTTCGCCAATCTAAGATGTCCTCACAGGCATGCCGAGACGCATTCTCAAGAAGTACCTGAATGAATTGTCGAAGCAGAGAGCTGCCCTGTAGCAATAGCATGTTCCTGCTTTGTAGCTTTGCAGCTACGACCTCCTCAGAGAAGCAGTCAAAAGCTGAGTGCTGCTGTACGCAGTGAACGCGAGCATCCAGCAATTTGTCAATGCCTCTTTTGGGATTGTTATTTCGGACCTGCTTTCCTCGAGTTTCATAGCTACAAACAAAGACACACTAGCATACAGACACGCACGCACCCAGACGATTGAATGCGCAAACACACGCACACAAAAACAAACATGATTGCGCATACACATGCACCGCCAGGCCCGCACGCCTGCACGATCCCGCATGCTTGCGCGCACGCCTGGCAGGACGGACGCACGCC